TTTGAAAGCTCCTGACCCTGAATGCATACATGCTACTTTCCATCAAAACTGTTGGGAAGAAACTAAGCCTATCAGTAAAGCCTCAATCCGAGATTTCTTTGCCAATCAACCGTCACTCAAGCCTTTAAACCATACAAATATTGCTCTTATTCCTAAAGTTAATTCTCATGAGTGGGTTCACCAATTTAGACCTAGTAGTTTGTACCATGTTTCTTATAAAATAATTGCTAAAATCATCATCAATCATATTAAACCTCTATTATCTAATACATCTCTAAAAATCATGGTTCTTCTGCTCATGGCAGATCAAATTTTGATAACATCCTTATAGCTCATGAGTTATTTAATGACTTTAAACGTAAGAAAGATTCCATTGGAACTATGGCTCTTAAGATTGATCTTGAGAAAGCATATGATATGCTTGACCAGAATTATACAAAGAAAGCTTATTTACTATAGTGCCCCTTAAAACTTTGGTCAAATCTCACATTACCCCCTAAAACTTAAAGTGGTCCATTTACCCCGCTTGACCATGGTTTGGTGACCCACTTTACCTCATGACGTCAACTCCATCCAAAACTCTGTTAAAATTGATGATGTGGCAGGGGTGTTTAAGTAATTTTGTATACATGAGTTATTTTTATGCTGATGTGGGCTCCACATAAGCAATAAACAAATCAAACAAATTCCAAAAAATAAGAGCAACAATAAAAATTCAAAAAGCCAAAAGAAAAAAGAAAAATAAATTAAAAATTAAATTATTAGTAAGAAAACAAAAGCATCGCATCTCCTTTTGCTTCCCACCCCACAGCCCCAACTTTCTCTCCCTACAGCCATAATTTTCGTTTTCCCTAACTAGATCCAATCATCCACAGCCCATACCCCAACACAACCAATCCGCCATACAACAGAAATGGATCAAAATCCATGAATACCCAGAAGATGGTTTGACGAAGGGAGGCAGGGGAAACCAAAGGCCTCCAAATTTGTAACAAGGTCTCACAAAGCAGGGCTCTGGTTTCCGATGGGTAGGAGATGGGTACGCGGGTAATGATGATGGGCTTGTGCTTGAAGCTGCTAATCTGTGCGAGAGAGAGAGAGAGAGAGAGAGAGAGAGAGAGGTTGGGGAAGGGGGGCTGGGTTTCAAATAACCCAGATTTGAAATTGGGTGTTGAGGTTGAGATGGGGATGAGAGCTTGGGAGGCTGAGATAGGGGTGGAATGAGTTTCTTTCTTTCAAGGTATTTGCAGGAGACGAAGGGCGTGGGAATGGAGGTTGGGCGGCTGGGATCTAATTTTATTTTGTGTTTTTTATTTTAATTATTTTAATTAGTTTTAATAATTAGAACATCTAATTATATTTTTATGTGTGTGGAGGTGGGCTCCACTTGCCACGTCACCTCTCAATTAGTGGATAATGATGTATGTGTATGAAACTACGAAAATACTCTTGTCACGTCATCAATTTTAACAGAGTTTTGGATGAAGTTAATAACAGAGGGCAAAGTGGGTCACCAAACCACGGTCAAGCAGGATAAATGGGCCACTTTAAGTTTTGGGGGACAATATGAAATTTGATCGTAGTTTCAAGGGGAATTACAGTAAATAAGCCTACAAAGAATGAGTTTATGTAATAGATGGATTGCACAAATACTATCTCTTATTCCCTACTCATTAATGGCTCTGCCAAAGGTTTTTTCTGCTCCACTAGGGGTATTCGACAAGGGGATCCTTTATCCCCATATTTCTTCATCATTTACATGGAACCTCTCATTACACTGACGGACTCAAAAAAATTTTAGCGGAGGTGCAATATATTGACTAAGTATGAAAATGGTTTTCGGAAAAGTCATTTTCTCAAGATAATTTTTGGCGGCTTTTATTACTTACACATCAAATAAGAAAACTTGATTTTATGGGATTTTATTATGAAGTATATATTGACTTAATGAGCCATCATTTTTAGCCTAAATCGTATTTTGCACTAAAACCGAATTTTCATATTTTGATTTGGTGAAAATTTAATTTTATAGTATTTTTATTTGAATCTAAATGATGGTACTTCCTTATTTACATTGTAAACTTAAGTAAATTGAGTAATATAAAAATAAATAAAAGTAAAAGAACAAAGACATTTACTTAAATGTTGAAAATGAAAATAAGGTAATCTGTACACCAGTTAAGCAAATGGGCAATTTGAAGCACTAACAATGATTTCTCTGGCAAGGGGAGGTGCATGCACCTCCTTACGCCTTAATAGATCCGCCTCTGTCTCATTAGACACCTTAATTTTTTGTCTTCCAATCCTAAAAATCATATTGGAATTTTATCTTCCCCTGGAGGTCTCCGTATTTTCAATCTTGTCTTTGCTTATGATTGCCTTATTTTTGCCAAAACTTCTACTTGTGCAACTAAGAAGATTCAAAATGTTCTGGCCTGTTTTGCTAATGCCTCTGGCCTACAAATTAATTTCCATCAGTCCACCCTTTACTTCTCTCCTCGAGTTACTAATATTGTCAAGAATAATATTAGTAATGTCCTCCAAGTTCAACATATCTACTATAGGTAGGTACCTAGGGGTTCAACATATCTACTATGAGTGCCTTGCTTTGAGGGATGGTTTAGTTCATGTACTTCATCATGGTTGGCGCAATATCATAATTGAATATGACTCTGAAATGGTCATTGATGCTGTCAACAAGAAATGCTCTGCCCCATGGAGTATTTTGGAGCTTCTCCAAGATGTACCATACTCTACTAGCAAGATATTGTCCGCTTTGGTCCCCCCTTTAAGGTTTTGTTCTTGGGCTCAATGTAATGTTATCTTGCCCAAAAGGTCTCTTGCTAGGAAGAGAAGTGTCCATACATAAAAGGCACTTTATGTTTCCCTCCCCGAGTAATGTGGGATTGCTCATTGGTTTTGCTTCCCAAGCTCACAGGTCTTACAATCCACCCCCTTTGAATTTTTGCCCAATTCTTGCCCCCACTTAAAAAAAAAATATTCAGCCCAAGCCTTTGCATAATCCAAGCTCACACCATGCATTATATTTCAATAATTTGAATCGTCTAGTTTTTGGATATTCCCTCAAAGATCATCTCTACAAAAAATCACTTGAATCTAAAATCATTTAACAACTCAGTTAGATGGTTTTTATTATAGTATTTTCTTGAAGCACTATATTCGTCTATTTTGTTGCTCTCAATTAGATGCCTTAATGATTTTCAATTTACATGATCTTTTGTAATTATGATCTATGAATGAAGGTTTGAAAATAGATGATTTGGATTGTTAAAAAAATTATATTAATAAAAAAATTGAACTCTTACCATTGCCACGCTAGAATACATAAAGAATTTATTGACAGAATTTATGAAACAGCATAAGGTGTGAAATTTGATTGAAAGCAAAGGGACAAAACAGTAATTAAGTTGATAAATAATGTGCAGCGTACAAAATACCACGTTGGTACTGAAAATAAAATAAAAAAAACAAGTAATTTTATTTTTATTTTTATAAGAAATAAAAAGCAAGTGTAGAGTGGCAGGTATGAACCAAATCGTATAAAAAAACTTGACCAATGTTATTTTGACTTGTTGATGTCTTGAACCACGACGGTTAGGTATTATTGTTTATTTTGTAGTGCAACTCCACAGATTCTTCTACAATTTTTTTAACTTCTAAGTCGGAATGTGTTGTGAGACATTAACATATTTAATTTTAATACAGCGAAAGCACTGGAGGCCACAACTTTTTCGCATACATTACACTTTTGTCGCATACATTTGAATAAAATAACGGGTTCTATGGGTCATTTAAGCATTTTGAACCGACATATCAATGTACTTAATGACATGAAATAAAGTGCGATGCAAAATATCGATTTTAAGGATAAAATCACTTTAAATTTCAAGAGGTAATATAAAATTTGACTATAATTTTAAGGCGTACTGAATTGAGGCAATCAAGTTTGTTTGAATTCAACTACAAGAACATGAAAATGCAATTTATTCATGAACTACATTTAGCCCTATAACTGAAGATAATCTTAGCAAATTATAAAAACAAAAGTCGAGATCAAAATTACATAACAAGTCATATTAAACAAACGTATTATTAAAGAAGACTTTAAAATTATCAATTGTAAAATTACAGTTTAATTTTTGCATAATAAATTCTTTTTTTTGGGGTCATTTTTTTGTTCTGTTGACTTATAAGTCTAAAATGTTTTTCTCTCTCTTGTTTTTTTTCTTTTCCCAAAGTTGAACAGACATGGCAAAGCAGAACGATTCTGGACAGAGACCGGTTAAACGATGTCGTATGTCGGCACGGCATTTTCTCTCCGAAAACTCATAGCCACTGGATTTGACCAGACTATCCTTAAGAGATATACGCATAAATAGAAATGCAGAAACAAGGTCATTAACGTCATTCCAAAATAGTAAACGGTGACAAAGCAAAAAGGAGGATGGGGACAAATCAAAAATGCCAAGCTGGCAAGTAGACAAAAGGCAAAAAATACAGGTGCTCCTCTCCTTTTCGCTTCGTCTCTGTTCCTCTTCCTCTATCCGAATTTAGAATCCGATAAAGCTCGAAATCCGATTAGCTCTCGTAATCATCCGCGCTAATAATGCTAGATTTTATAAATCTGATATTGCATTTAGCTTCATCGATTGTATTTTCAGTGTGTGTTGTTTGGAAAATCATAGTTGATTAGGTTAGGAAATTGAGGTAGTTGAGTTTTCTAGGAGACTTGAATGGTTGCTGAGGAAGTTGAGGGAAAATTGAAATATGGGTCTCATTTCAGATTTGCTATTGGTAAAAAAGAATTAGAAGTCAACCAAGCCAAAAATTTTCGTAAGCTTCAGCTGAATTCGTGGCGGGGGTTGGTTTTTATAAATTAAAAAAAAAAAATTAATAATTTTCCTTTATTTATGACCCTGATCTTAGACAATTATTGATGTCGTTTAAAAGGTTTGAGTACACTTCCCAGCAACCAAACAGAGCTTAATACGTCAATTACCAGATTAGTTGCAAACTTCTGAAAGTTAGTAGCCAGAATTGTATGTTTGTGTTATTGATCTTGGGGGCTAAATGTGGGTCTTTTGTTGAAGGTAGTGGGCTAATTGATGAAATAGAAGAGACCCATTTGATTTGAATTTGGAAATTGAAGGGTCCAAGAACTTTGTTGAAGATGGCCTGCAGAGGGTGCTGGGAGTGCCTATTGAAGCTATTGAACTTTGTTCTGACCCTAGTGGGGCTGGCCATGGTGGGTTATGGGATCTACTTGCTGGTTGAATACCTGAAAGCTGCTGACACAGTTGCCATGTCTTCGCTTGTGGGTGACAATCAAGCTTTGATACAGCTCAGCCGACCTATGCTCATGACTGTGTCTCTTTCATCTAATATCTGGGATAATTTGCCAAAAGCTTGGTATGCCTACTACAAACTTCTTTTTCAGTTTTTTGAGTTATAGCTAGTTAATCTTTTGTTTTATTACAATTGAGGGTATCTGTTGTTTATTTGGATTTTAGATATGGCTTAAACAAGATAACAACGATGATTATGACAGACTTATCTTCTTACAGTTGATATCACATAGTTGTTATTATTTATTTCAAATTTGATATCGTAGACTGTATGTAAGTTTAGAGAAGTAGAAAGATGATATAAAATGATTGAAAACCTTAGGAATGAAATCATTTTCCTCCCTATTTTTTTTTTATCCAACTGGAGATTTCTCTTAATTAACTAGTCTGTTATCTTAGTTAACAGTTTGGATGTGAAATGAGTCTATAATTTAGAAACTTAGCTTGACTTTGGTTGTTGCGGAAATTTTTGTTTCTCTGTTTTGAGCGATTTATTCAAATGCATATCAAGAATTGTAGGTCAAAATGAAATATAATATGGTTCCACCCAAAGACTTGGACATTTTGAGTCGCCATCCAAGCACAAGTACCTTGATTTATAAGAATATTTTTGGTGTAGAAAGTCTCAAATTCAGGATCTTCTGCTGCAGATATTCCTCAGTAACAAATTCATAGGCACGGAGTTCAGTTTTATTGTTTGTTTCTTTGTTTGGTTGAGTAATATTGCCCATCCTAGTGTGTTTATGGACCCACTGGACCAGACGCTTCTCAAACTCAAGCATTTTCTTTTTTGGTTAGAGACCAATGTCTTGGGGCTAACGTAAGACCTGCTCAAGGACCTACCTCTTTAGGTAAATATCTAATGCATTGTCTGACCGGGGAAGATTTTGTGGAACCCCTCCAAGGTATCCCTATTTTGCTGGATCCGAATGGCTACAATGGATGTGCCTGTGTGCTCCTCCAAGTGAATTTTTGCGCATATGCCCTTCATGAAGTGTACAGGAGAAGTTATCTGTAAATATTTTGTGGGCATAAAAAAGCCTAATAGCCCTTTTCTGTGTTGGAGCCTGCACCCAAAGTCTAGGTGCAAGTGTGATCATGTGATCCCTGTGCCTAGATATCATGCAGAGGTAGAGCTTCCTACTACAATTTTGCTCCTGGAATCTGATGTAAGATATATAGGATACCGTGCCAAGAATCTAGGCACATAAGTCTTCATGTAGAGGATTTGGAATCCCAATGGGGCTGATCACCATGTGATGAAGAGGTGCCTACTCTAGGCGTCAAGACACATAGTGGATCCCTCCTATCTCATCTCTCATATAACATTTGGTCACACTAGGATCTCATCCTAGTCCAATCCTTACATGTTGAGTATAGCACCATCCAGCTTCACACATGGGCGCACTTATTTCATTAATATTTAATATTTCCATTTTGCCCTTATTTCATGTATAGGTTAGGAGTAGGATCACAAGGATTTTCCCATTTCTTGTTTTCTATAAATGAATGTCATTTCTAATCAAGCTCTTGATAGGATAACAAAGTTCAATAAGCTAATATGTGTTCACCTATATAATATTAATAGTGACTTTCATATTAGAGAATTTATTTGAAGCCCTAAGCTTAATTATGCGTCTGATCCACCATCGTATCTCTGTAAATTCTATTGGAAGAAAGTAGATTGTACTGTCTATCAGCTGTACTTACATCTTTATTATCTTTGAGCCATGGCTACATCTTTATTATATTTGAACCATGGCCTTAAGCATTTTAGTGATGCCTTTGAAATCATGTTTATATGATTGTTTCGAAGGGATATCAACTCCATTCTCATTATAAAGGACAGATTCTATCTTGAGAAGTTATTTTGTCGTAACCCTTCCCTAGCTAACCAAGATATTGAGGTAATGATCTTGAAAGGACTTACTCAGTGGTCAAATGGGAGTCACTTACTCTCTCACGATTAAGAGACTATTTCTGTAATGAGAGTACATAATAGACAGTCTTGCACTAGTTACTGATAGGAAGTCCTGTACTTAATTGGTTGAGATCACTAGTCTATTTTTTCTTTTTTGTCTGAAGACTAGTCTATGATATAGGTCAGTTGTACTGAAATTTTCACAAATAAGGTCTTCACTCTCTTCACTGGTTGTGATTCATTTATAGTGATGAGCATCTGTGATGTAGGACACGGGTGAATTGAGTATTTAGGTAGTTTAGCGGAAGCGAAAACAATGGAAAAACAGAAAATAGGTGGTAAAAGACGCCTTGGCTTCACGCCAAAAGAGTTTTGGCTTCACACCGAAAGAGTTTTGGCTTCACACCTAGGAGTCACCAATCTCTGGAAAGTAATCTTTTCTTAATATCTCAAATCTCCATTTTAAAGAACTACATGGGGGGTAGTTATAGCAAACTAAAACCTAGAGACAATAGAATAAAAATCCCTCACTAAAACAGAAATCCTAATCCACCAAGGAACTAAGTAAAATAAACTAGGAAACTTAAATCAAATCCTACTAAAACTCTGGAAACCAAAATCCTAGTGAAATCTGGAAAACTAATAAATCAGGAAACTAACTAATGATGTCTGCATCAATTACCCCTGGCTGAAAAGATCTCGACTCCGGCGAGATAAAGCTGTAATAACATTCGAAAACGTCGGGATCAATGTGCGGCAGGTCCTCCTTTGTAATCCGAGTACTACGAGAATCTGGTTTAACTTCCACTTGACTAGGAACTTCTGCATCTTCCTTACATTCTTTAAGCGTAATGATATGTAGAACTTTGGTTTTACCTACTTTGTCTTGCTCCTCTTTGTTTGGTATAGATTGATTCACGAGCTTGGGTTGAAGTGGCTTCATCGTGATCTTCTTTCCTTTATGGATGAACAGACATATTTTCTTGACCCAAGATGGTAACATTGTAATCGTAGATCCATGGTCTTCCCAAGAGAATATGACTCACATCCATATCCACCACATCACACCAAACATGATCTTTGTAAGTTGAAAACTGTATAGGAACGTGACATCATTGGGTAACAGGGATAGAAGATGTATTGTCAATCCATGCTACTCTGTATGGCACAAGATGCTTCTCGGGTGACAAACCAAGACGCGAAACAGTTAGCTATGACACCACATTGATACAACTCTCATTATCTATGACCACCTTACAATCTTTATCTCCAGACTTGATGTAAGTGTGGAAAATGGAAGTCCTACGCCAATCCACAGTTTCCTTCCTAGGTTGAGCCGAAGTACACCTTACTACTGCTAATGTTGGATGAGGGACTTCAAAGTCGATTCCACAATCTTCATCAGGTTGTTGGGGTTCATAAATATCTTCCTCGCATTCGCCTTGATTGTCAGCTTGTTCGTTGATGTGTGCACGCAGATTTCTTGTTGCCTCCTTCGTTGGGCATTGGAAAGCAAAGTGTCCAAAACCCTAGCATCTGTAACATCTTTGCGTTCCACCACCACGTGTATCAACTAGCATTCCTTTTCCCTTGGCAGTTTTTACTAAATTAGTCGTAGATGTTGAAGTCGTAGAACTTGGAGTCACAGATGTGTCAACATGAAAACCAGATCTTTGAGAATCAGTTTGCTTGACTACATTGGACAACTTTAAATACTTCTCTAATTCTTGTACCATCTGAAAAACCCTCTCTAAAGTATTCACAATATGAGGAATTAATTCCCTTTGAAGCTCTGGACGAAGTCCTGATCTAAACTGAGAAATAGTCATCCTTCGATCTTCCCTTATGTCACATCGCAACATGAATTCCTCAAATTTTGCAATATATTCAGCAACTTGCATGTTGTCTTACGAAGAGTTTGCCACTCATCTAACAAACTCTGTTGATAGGATAATGGTAGATATTTCTGCTTCAACCTTTCTTTCATCTCACCCCAATGGATGATTGGTTCTTCACCAGCTCTCTCTAGCTGTGTTTCAACATTGGTCCAAAACAATCCAGCTTGACCCACCAATTTTATCTTAGCAAATCTCACCCTTCGAGCTTCAGACATGTCATGCCACTCAAGATAGCGATCTATGGTAGCTAACTAGTCGAGGAGTGCTTTAGGATTTAGCTCACCATCAAAATTAGGAGCGTCAACTTTCACTTATCTTATCACCTTTTCATCATGGTCTTGCTCATAGCCACGATGGAAATTGTGGCTCTCTGCGTCTCGATCATTCCTTATATCATGACGTTGTCGCTCACGATTCCTCTCTTCTCCATTCACACTTGCTTCATCATGTTGGTTACCTGCTTCTAAGTTTGCAAGGCGACGTTCCACGAGTCTGGATCTAGTGTCTGAATCTGCCACTTGCTTTGATAGGTTTTCCATCATCTGAAAAAATGTTCAAGGTCCATCTATGGCTCGTCTGTCTTTCCAGGCGTAGTCGGGGCCATCACTTGACACATGGCGTGAAGAGCAAGAAATACTTGAAAATTTTGAACCCAAGGAAAACGAAAACCTTGCTCTGATACCAAATTTGATGTAGGACATGGGTGAATTGAGTATTTAGGAATTTAGGTAGTTTAGCGTAAGCGAAAACAATGGAAAAACAGAAAATAGGTGGTAAAAGACGCCTTGGCTTCACACCAAGGAGTCTCCAATCTCTGGAAAGTAAACTTTTCTTAATATCTCAAATCTCCATTTTAAAGAACTACTTGGGGGGTATTTATAGCAAACTAAAACCTAGAGACAATAGGATAAAAATCCCTCACTAAAACAGAAATCCTAATCCACCAAGGAACTAAGTAAAATAAACTAGGAAACTTAAATCAAATCCTACTAAAACTCTGGAAACTAAAATCCTAGTGAAATCTGGAAAACTAGAGAATCTAGGAAACTAATAAATCAGGGAACTAACTAATGATGTCCGCATCAATCTGTGGTTCACATCTCCTTTTGTAAAATAAATGAACCTGTAACTTACCCATCCTAGATCTAGGCATATTCTTGCATTTTTACTTTTATATGGATATTGAAGAGTCATACCTGTTGAATTCAAGCTACTAATTCTTTATTTTTTCCCTCCATTAAATGTCACATGCTTTTTTCAGGTTCATCTACGTGTTTATTGGAATTGGAGCAATTATATTTGTCATCTCTTGTTTTGGTTGCGTGGCCGCCATGACACGGAATGGCTGCTGCTTGAGTTGTGTATCCTAATTACTCAATATTTTGTCTAAATGGTGTATCAGATAATAATGTCATGGTCTTTCAGCTATGTGATATGCCTACAATGGCATCGTACTAAAATAATGCTGAATTACACTCATAGTACATGGTAGCTGATAAATATACTTGATGTACAGTGCATGTGAGTTATACTCTTTTATTTTCAAAAATTGGTGTCCTTAAGTCGTCATAGTATTCGGTTTTGCTGATCCTTTTGATATTGGTAGAGCTGGCAGGTGCAGCCTTTATATTCTTTGACAAAAGCTGGGAAGCTGTAAGTTATGTTATTAACTGATGTTTTGAAATTTTAGATGGTAGTGGTATGATTGGCCATCTAATCAGTGTCATAATTTGTTTTCCAGGAAATCCCAACAGATAAAAGTGGAGATTTTGAGATGATATATGCATTTCTGAAAGCTCACTGGGACATTGTTAGATGGGTTGCTCTTGGAGCCGTTGTCTTCGAGGTAACTAAAGTATCCAAAATCTTGTCAGGGTCTCTTCAGTTTCGACATATTTTGGTTTGAGTTTTTGTTCCTTTGGTGGAATTACGATTATATCCTTCAGTCAACTAAAGGAAGATTGCTTTGGCATGACCGTCTCTTTTCCCTGGTTGGAATTATATTTTTTAATTTTTTATATTCCCATATAGAAATATATAAGAGGTATATAAGGGTGTGGCCATCTTTTAGCTAGCAATGCATCACTGAAAGGAAACTGCGAAACATTATCAAACCTGATGCTTCTGTGGAACTTTACCTCACGGTTGTTTCTCATTGGCTAGAATACTTGAAATGGGTGCTGCCATGGGGTTGGTTCTTGCATGGCCTAATGAACATGTAGCATTGGAAGAAACATGTTATGCTTTTGATGTCAGCTTGTACTGGTTTGCTTCTAAGTTGAATTTTATTTTGTTGAATGAATCCATATTTTCTAGTTATCTATTTCATGCGGCTGGATTGACAGTAATCATGATTGATTTTATGATCTTCAAGTGTATGCTCAATTTCTCTAGAAATGGTGTTATATCAGATATTGCCAGCCAGCTGCTGCTAGAGTCTTCTGGTTGTAGTTAAAATTTCTTCTTAGACTTGTACATCTTTATCTGATATTGGTTAAGATTTCCTTGTGGTCTGAAAAGTTTTGTAGATTATTTGCTTTTTAGCTGCACAAAATCATTGCTAAGATGAGAGTGTTCTTCTGTTGTGATTCTTGAATCCAGTGCAGTGAAAAAAATTGTTTGGTGTTTTCTGCTAAAAGTTTCTTTTATAATGTTTCTCCATGGAATTTCAGGCTCTACTTTTCTTGCTAGCTCTTGTGGTTAGGGCAGCAAACAAACCAGCAGAGTATGACAGTGATGATGAGCTCATTGCTCCAAGACAACAAATTAGACAGCCATTGATCAATAGCAGGCCAGCAGTTCCGGCAACTGGTGTACCTGTTGCTGGGGCTAGTGATCAACGACCGAACAGAAATGATGCTTGGAGTACACGCATGAGGGAAAAGGTGAGGCATTCTGGCAAAAAGTTTTCTTAAAGTTAGTATGACATGATGCATAGACATAGCCATTTTGGTGATAGTGTAGAGTTAAGATCTGCATGTTAGCAGGTTTGCTTTAGATTTTGCTGATAATTCCATTTTTCATTTATATTTTTCAGGTCGAAAAAAATAAAATAAAATAATATTTTTATGCTACAATCTCTTCCATGGTTTATGGTTCTAATGCCTGTTATCTTTTTTGTCTGGTGACTATGGTCACACTGCATATAACCAAAATCAGTACGGGCTTGATACAGCTGAGTTTACATACAACCCATCTGAGTCAAACAGGTTCCAGCCGGTACCAGCTCAGCCACAAGAAGAAAGGAGCCGATGCAGCATCATGTGATAAACGATGTGGATTTAACCAAAATTTAAACTTGGGTTTGGTTTCTGAAGACCATTTCTTTGACCGTGTTAGAACTTCAAGCTTTTCAGAGGATCGTCATTTCCTTTTTGTTGAGTTTGTGTACTACAATTTTTTTCCTTTACTTTTTTGTTTCAGGAGCTTTACTTATTCCCGGCGGAAAGAGTCTTCTCTTAAAATGTATTATCAGTTGGTGTGTAAATTGTACTGCTAGTTAGGGCTTGTTATGGAGTGTATTTTTATTAACCGAGTCACTTGAGACCTTCTGGCAGTTGCAATGATGTGTTTGTTCTATTGGTTATAATTTCTTTTACCTAATTGATCAGCAAATTTCTGGTTCTTTATGTTTGGATCCAAGTGCAATTGTTTTCCAATTTCTTTTTCCTTACTTTTGTACTGTTTTTCTTTAAAGGATATTTAAACAGTAAAATATACCTAAAATCCCCTCGCCTACGAAAACTTTCAATCTTATTGCTCCAGTTCCCAAAGCTTCCCAACCTAGCAGGCCCATGAAATCTGGTGATGCTGGAACTTGGGGTTCTGCTGCAAGCAACCATGATGAGCTGAGCTGAGATTGACCCTCTCCTTAATCGATCATTAGTTCCCAACCGTGGGGCGAATGGAATCCTATACATAAATCAGTTAATAAAAGAATAGAAAAAGCTTTTATTGGCGTGGTCGAATTTCTTCTTATCTTTTAATGTATGTATCCTATGTATTAATTATTATTTTTTTATATAAAAAAATTCCGACTTTGAATTTTCTTGTTCTTGATTCCCCAAGGCCTTCTCCAATCTCCAATACAAAACCATTGGGATAAAAATCAAATTTAGGGCTTGGGTTTTCTGGTCCATTGGAGAAGCCAAATCTAGGATTTGGGACTTTGCACTGGAGATGGCCTAATGATGGGCCAAGCTTGTTTACCGAGTCTTATCATATACGACATGTCGTTCTGCCAGATTTTTTTATTTTATTTTTTGGTCGAAGTTCAGCCAAATTACGCATGGTACAAACAAGCACCTTCCCCCATACCGAGACAATTTTTTCGTGTAGAAGGAAAAATGTACACACAGTTGTTAAGTGCTTAATTTGTATTGTAGCTTTCTTTGCTTTCTCTGTGGTCCCAAAGATATGGAAAGTGATGGCAAACTTGACTTGTTCTTCTACTTTCTTCTCTCAATCTGACTTTGAGACCGACATTTCATTGGGGTTTTGCTTCTTGTTTTGCGGGGTCTTTTTTGTTTGGGTTTGTTGGTGGATTGGATTGTGACTTATTATAGTGCTTTTTGGTGGTAGGGGCTGCCTTTAATCAATCGTTTTGACAATTTTGTAGCAAACCTGTCCTATTGAGACTGTCATAAATTTTTTTTCCCTTGACAGCTTCCCTGGGCCTCCAAAACCTTGGCCCAAAGTCAAAGATGAATTTCTATATCAATCATCAAGAAGAAATATGCTAGCATGAGTCACCTCTGGATACATGAAATATTATCAGCCATTAATTATCGTGGGACCAACTTGTTGGTGTACCTATTGGTATCTCGGGACGGGACGTAGACACAAATTGCTAAACCTCGTTAAGTTTCCTGATCTCATTTACTTTACTTTAATTTTTACTTGTATAGTTAATTGGTTTTAGTTTGATATCAAAGATGGATTTGCATTTGTCACATTTGTTCACTCGTCAACTATCTATGTGTACGAGACGAATAATGAAACACACATACCATCAATCAAACCATCCTGCGCACATATACAAGCGACTGATGGTAGCACAACTCTTTCAAGAATTACAGTTATCCATGTTTTTTGTCTTCATCGCCATTATGATACAAAGAACTAGTGTCACTTGTATAGGGTAATGCTCCCTGGATCTCCTTTTAATTTTATAAAGTTCGCCGCCAAGAAGAAATATCCGTAGAGTTAAGAGGCAAGTGGTGCGGAATGACATGGAAAATTCCAATCCAATTCCAATTTGAAGTTACAAATATAAAAAGAGAAGCCATATGCACATTGGACAACGAAAGGGAAAGCTGTCGAATATTGTCTTCTTTTTTTCGGTCTGAGATGTCGAATATTATCCAGTCATTCAATTTGTGAGGAAGAAGAGAAGGATAACAAAAACAATACACAAGTAGGAAGGACGAGGAGCACTGCCATTATTCTGAGGTCTTGTGTCGTCATGTGTGTGTCGAAAAAGTCAATGCTGATTCTCAATTCAATTGGACACTATTATTTTACAGAGTTAGGGTTCATTAGGTGAGTGAGGCACAGTTGCAGGGCTAGCGACTTTCTGTTTGTATCTATGCCTAATGCACCAAATTGAGATTTGACAAACTACATTTGTTATTAGAAGGGACTGCTAGCTACCGTTTCTTTGTATTTTTCCATTTTGGTCCTGTTGAATTTCACCCGCTGTATATTTTCTTCCTGGCTAGAAGTACTTAGAATGGGAGATGTTCCCAGATTTTTCGTTTAATGTTTTTCTTTTTTTCTTTTTCAATCTGTAAGTACGCGTGTTAATCTTAAAGATTACTAATGACACAAAAAAACATAAAGGATTCGATCTGATAAGTTCGTGAACTTCAAAGACGTTTTGTGATAAAAACCCTTACTTTTATCAATTCCTTTAAGTGGTGTTTGGTTGGTGTGAAATTGAATGAGAAAGAGAATGAGAATATGAATGGAAAGAGTAATATGTTAGACTTCGTACAAACAAACAAAATGGAAGAAGTGAAAAGAAAGAGTATTCTTTGGTTTTTTTTTTTAATCAAGGGGCGGTGAGATTCCAACCTGGGAGTTCTTCCAAAGAGATGTTTCCTAGTTCCTACCTTCGATTTCTACGAGAATAAAGAGAGAAACAACCAATGAACTAAGGATGTGGTGTTCTGAACATAAATAATTTTTAATTATGTTTTCTTTATTTCAACATGAACTTTAGAAGTTAAAAATTAGAACTGATCTGGCAGAAAGAAACTGCATGCGATCGTCTAATAATATACTTATAATAATACTAATTAGCACCTCCAAACGCATCACCCCTTCCTTTTTTAAGGACAGTTGGAAGACTCCATGCATGTGGAACAATGTTTCAAGAATCATTAATTTATCTCATCAAATAAAGTTTATAATTTTTTAAATGGAGGAAAACTATGACAACGTATGTATTCATCTATCGTGTTTTATAATTTTTTAAAGTAAACTCTGAATATGTACAATCATCTGTAAAATACCTTTTTATTTTTCGGTCAAAACGAGAATGTATTTAAACTTAAAATACATTTAAGCAATGTTTGTTAAAGTTTGTAGTTGAAAATCTTACTTGTTGAGATGAGTGGATTAGATACGTTGCCTTTACCATGCGATATATCCTTTAACTTTACTGATAATTGAACTGTCGCTTTTACCATGTCAAATTCCTGCCCACATATCTCAGTCTTCAATTCTTTTTGGTTTGTTCTTTGCTTCTTTTCTCCTTTACCACTATCCATGCGGGTTCCACCAAAAAGGAGGATAAGTAGCCTCCAAAAGTTCAGAATGTATAAAGTGGATGGAATATATAGATACATTATATACAGTTATCTATAGGGCATCTCTCCAATTTTTACTTTATGTTTCCTATCTCACTCCTCCATATTATTATCATCTAGACTCAACCATAAAATTAATAGGATGCTCCTATGATGAGAATACTCAAGGGTGGAATCATGAATTTTTCAACGGATGGACTAGCTAAAGTTATTAGCTTAAAATGTAATGCTCTTTTTTTTTTTTTTTGGTACTTACAATTTCTATAATTTTTTAGAAATAAAACATGAATGTTTCAACGGAGGGACTAGCTAAAGTTATTAGCTTAAAATGTAATGCTTTTTTTTTTTTTTTTTGGTACTTACAATTTCTATAATTTTTTAGAAATAAAAATAAACATTAAATCATATAAACCACGCATATAGGGTGACACCACAATCGAAAAGTGGGCCAAGCTCTCCTCCTCTCCCCCAAGGGCATTCAGGTTCGATTCACTAGTTAATAGCTCTATTGACTAAAGTTACCAACCATCAAATCCATTTTTGATACATATTATTTGACATCTCAATTGGAGATACTCTTAACTAAGTAAACAAATTAAATATAAGATGATTATAGGCCTATAGGTTGAGTGGACAATGAGTTATTAGGCTACATTTGGGTGGACTATTAATTTTTTATAGAATGAAATCACATAAAAATAAATAAAATATTTTGTAAAGGCTACTTGGGCTAGAGCCCATGGTATCCTTGTTGCTAGTTCAACCCATGAGAATACTCTTGTGTGTTCATATATTATATATACAAATGAATTTTCTAAGTTAGGACGATGCTAATCACTACTTCGTATATAATGTGATCTCATAATACGAACTATTTTTTCTTTATTGTTCTCATTCAAGATCATCCCTACAAAAAAACATTTAGTCCAATCTAAAATCAATTAGTAATCCAATTGTGATTAAATAAGGCGAACACTTTGTTTTTTTTTGTAACCATTAAAACAAAACAAAAATAGTCGATTTGACTGTTGTTTGCTTGGAGTATACGCATGAGGGAAAAGGTGAGGCATTCTGGCAGAATGTTTTCTTAAAGTTAGTATGACAGCCATTTCAGTGATTAGCATGTTTGCTTTAGATTTAGCTAATAAGTCCATTTTTCATTCATATTCTTCGGGTCTGAAAAAATTCAATCCAATTTCTCATCCCCAAATTCTTATATTTTGGTTCAAAAATGATGCGACGTAAGACTTAATAATCTCTTTTTGTTCCAATGCACATTCAAACATGGATATGGAATATTCTAGGTTATATTCTAACTTGAGTTCCTGTGTTGGAATCCCCACTTCCTAAATATCGCTTGCATAAAAAATAAAAAATAAAAAAACCCAGAGGTTTTGAAAAAAATCAAATTTAGGGTTTGGGTTTATGGTCAAATGGAAAAGCCTATATTCTACTCGAAATCTAGGATTTGGGTCTTAGCACAGGACATGACGTGGCCTAATTAATGGCCAAGCTAGTTTACCTAGTTGTCGTGTGGCGTGATCCGAGGTCGTTCCCAATCATACACGACATGACGTTCTGTCAGATTACACACAAGCACCTTCCCTCACACCGAGACAGTTGTTTTAGTGCCTGCTTGTCTGTGGGTTTGTTCTGGTCCAAAAAAAAATATGGAAAGTGATATCAAAATTGACTTCTTGTGTTTACTTTCTTTTCAATCTGAGGCCGACATTTCTTTGTGATTTTGCTTCTTGTTTTCTAGGATCTTTTCCTCTTTTTTTGGGTTTGGTC